TGGGCCCTGGCCCTGGCCCGGTGGCTCTCCTGCCCACCGGCGGGGCACTGGCGCCTGCTACCACATGCCAAGGCCCACAGGGATAGTAAGGCCAGAGACCTCACTCGCTATCACGTCCGAAATATCCCGCGTCTACAAGTCCACCCAGCCTAGGCTACATGTCATTTGGCACCGTCAACCTTGATGCTTAACAACTTTTTTAAAAAAAAAAGCTTTGCGCTGTAAGTTTTGCCTGTAATGAAGCTACACGGAAGAGAATGACAAGTCACGTGCTCCTCAGGGATAGTAAGGCCAGAGACCTCACTCGCTATCACGTCCGAAATATCCCGCGTCTACAAGTCCACCCAGCCTAGGCTACATGTCATTTGGCACCGTCAACCTTGATGCTTAACAACTTTTTTAAAAAAAAAAGCTTTGCGCTGTAAGTTTTGCCTGTAATGAAGCTACACGGAAGAGAATGACAAGTCACGTGCTCCTCTGGAACACAGTGGCACATCTCTGTAGCAGGAGTCATAACTTGTAATTCTCCCCAGCAATGAGTTGCTGTGAACTAGCAGCCCAGCAGAAAGCAATCACAGACAGTTTCATTATAGCTTTCAGTTGATTATCCAAATTATGGCTGAGAGCAGAGGGCAGCCTTTTTATTATCATCATTGCTGTGCCATTAGAAAATGCTGATGAAGCTCCACAAAAGCTGAAATTCCCTTTTTTTGCTGGTATTTTTTCATTTTTCTGAGTGTTCCCTTGGGCAATATCTTGGTTTGATTTGACACACAACAGGGAACAGGTACGCAGGTGGGAAGGGAGAAGATAAGGAGGGGAAAATGGGGCAGCTCTTCATTTCAGTTAATCTATAAAGTCATGTAGCCTGGTTTGGGTTTCGCCACTCCTCCAGATGTATCTAATTCTTAGAGTCTGGCTGTAAATAATGCTGTATTTGCTACACTGGGGACACATAAAACCCAATTAAGAGCCAGGTAGACATCTGTTGGCTTGTTCTGTGCTTCTGTTTCCTTTTTGTTTTTTATGAATACGTAGCAGAACAACCAGAACAGGATTAAATACGGTGTAAGTGCAAGTACAGTTGATAGGCTTGTTATTTATCTCTGCAGTACAGTATGAGAGCACAGTGTTTTACTTGCACGCAGCACTACCAGTGACAGAAGCTGTGCCTGCGCAAAACCTTACGTGCTAAACCCTGGACACAAAAGAGAAAGTGTTCCCCACCCCTAAGAACCTGCTGTTGTTAAAAACCTCTACATATTATTAGGAAATCACTTTACATTTAATCCATGTGCAGAGATGTTCATAAAGCTCCACCAGGCTAGGCAGGTCTGCCTGGGAGTCCAGCTAGTCCCTGCTCGTGGCTCCAGCCCAGAAGATACAGGCATGGGCTGACAACGTGTGTGTCCTCATGGACATATCTTCTACTTGCTGAGGCATTTTCAGCTGGTGTGTGGTGGTTCCTGGTGGAAGAAGAAAGTTAAAAGGTGGTAAATAAATACTTCTGTACTTGGTTCTTTCACTGGTGCATTGTCAGCCTGCACTGTTCACCTGGACAAACTGCCTTTCTGAAGGATACCACGACTTTTAAAGGACTTTAGAAAAGGACTAAGTGAGCTTCCTTTGTAAAGACTAGCTACTGCCCTTGCCGCTGTTAGACAGCTCATCAGACTTTTGCAAACAGCTTTTCAGCCCAGGCTCTGGGCAGGGACAAAGCCCGGGAGCAGTGATCTGGCTCTTGGCTTTACCAGCACCAAAGCAGGGCAGGAACCTCCTGCCCCTCTCATTGTAGGACCAGCATGCCGTCCCTGGCCCTCGACCCTTCTGGCTTGCAGCAGCAAGTCCTGGTCTTGTCTGCAAGTCCCCGGCTCCCAGGAAGGAAGCGGGGGGTGCCCAGCACAGGTGGCTAGGGGCTCCTGGTGCCGGCGGGCAGCCTGCCAGTCGCTCCAGCTGGAGGCTCTGCTAGCTCAGGTACTGCTCAAATCAGCGGTGATCCCTGACAACAGGTATGGGTGCTGGGGACCACAGGGTGGTTTGCAGCAGCAGCACAAAACTGCGCCTTACAGGCTGCCATGGGTGCAGGGACGGATAGCCGTCACATTTGGCATCATGATGCAGCCCCAGCAAGCCTCAGCACAGCAGACCCACCATGCCCTGGTGCAAGAGGAGATGGATGTTTCCCCTCCGCGCAGCACACGGCTGCACACTGCGCCCAGACAGGGGTGCTTCTGCCACCAGCCGGGGCAAGTGTCTGCGTTCCCACCACAGAGTCACAAGGCTGCGGGCTGCCAGCACAGCAAACCCCGACACCAAAACCGACCTCTCGTAACTGGACCTGGAGGGCGGCTCCCAAATAAGAGACCAAGGCCCTTGCTGCCCCGCAGGTGGGAGGGACCTGGCAGGCAGGGAGACAGGCCGGCTCTCAGCCCTTCGGAGCAGACAGAGCAGAACAAGAATCGCTGCCGGCATCTGCGGAGGGACCCTGGCACTTGAACCCTACCGGCGTGCAACGGCAGCAGGGGCAAACATTTCCTCCTCTGCCCAAATGATTTAGAAGCTGTGGGCTGCGGGCAGGAATCCAGATCCAGTTTTAGGTCACTTGGACGCTTTTCACCACGGGTGCATTTTTGTCGAAATTCCCTTGAAAACCCTAACCTACATCAATACTCTTTGTTTTTATATATATAGCTGTACAATTACACACCTTAACATGTTGGAGGGAAACCAAACCATGCCAAACTGTAATCATCTTCAAAAAGCTAGGTGGAACTAGACAACTTCTGAGTGAATTCTTGCAAAACTGGATTTCTAACAGCAATACAGACTTCAGCAACACCCGACACAAGTGCTGCAGTTTGTAAAACACTACCGGAAGTTCAGATAGGTAAGACTAAAGTAAAATCAGGAAGAGTGGCTGCATTTGAAACTCATCTTGCTGGACTAATCAATTATTCCTTAACAATATCTGTACATACAAGTGCACATAAAATGTACATAATTAGTTTCTGTTGGTCTCCCTGGGGACCAGGACCCCTTTCTGCGAGGCATGGTTGGTACACAAAAGGGGTGTTCCTCTCCCAAGGTGCCATCACCACAGCACTCTGGAGGCAGAGGCAGAATCAGGGCCCTAGTCCAAAGGCACAGGAGGGTCGGTGGAGGTGAGGAAGGGTCCCTGCCATGCCACAGCCTGGTCACCAGCGCCACAGCCACGGCTGATCTTCAAATCTCCTTGCTGTGATTCACACAATGCCGAGATAACCAGGAGGCAGAGAACTTTAAATTTTGTTTCCTTGGGGGACATATTGCAGACTGAAACTTTGCAGATACTTTGTTTTCGAAACACATCACATCGTGCTTTTTTCTTTTTTTTTTTTCATGGCCCCTTGAAAAGAAAACATGATAAATTAGTATGGCCCTGGCAAAGCCCTCACTCTTCATTGGGCAAATACTTATTTATGGACTTTTAAATTGTGGCTTATGTAACGACAGGGTGAGTGACTTTCAAAAAACCTCTGCCATGTATTGACCTGATAGACCCTAATGGGTCCTTCAGAGCAATTAGGATTTATTGTGTTAGCGTCTATTGTGTATAGAGACCATTTTAAAAACATGTGTTATTTACCCAGAAGGCAGTAATGACTGTTTAAATACACAGTCAGATTGTTTCTGAAATGCTTGCTGCTCTATACATTGCAAATAAGTTACTCCAAGTATTTTTCAGAGTTAAATACTTTGCTGTACTGGGATTGCCAAGCAGGGTGATTGTACTGCACATACATTTGTATGCTTATAGCTGTAAGTGAATTGAGCTCTCAGGAAAGCTGCCAAATGAGCAACCTTGAAGCATGAAATCTGAGATTTTTTTCTTGACCAAGGGGCCAGTGCTTGCCTTTCTAGCGGTCTGAGCAGCTCAGGCCACTTCCCAGCTGAGAGAGCAGGGCATTTCCCAAGAACCACACGTGTTTTGGCCTGTCTGATCTGAATGCCCAGCAAAGGTGACCTTAGCAGCCATGAAGCTGTGGTTTCCACTATGGCCCATCTAACTCGCTATGTGCATGCAAGACCATCACCACTTCCTCGTAACCTACTGGGGGCCTGCACGCAAAAATACAAGTGTTGGCTCCTGAGCAGTGGCGGAGATTTGAGAAGCCTAACCCCTGGCCAGGCTCCTCAGCAGGCATCAAGGAGCACGGCTTCACTGCCCAGCAAAGATTGGCGCTGGCTTACACCAGCTTTGACTCTGACCACACAAGTACTACAAAACCCAACTCATACATGGGAGCTATCAAATGCCTTTATTATTATTATTATTATTATATATTAATAACAACAACAACAATAACAATAACAATAACAATAACAACAACGAATTACTCCTTGCTTTATCTTCAGACCAATGCTGTTTTGATCAATGCCATCTCTAAATAGGTACTTCCTTTCTCTGCCCTCTCCTTCGTTGTGAGAGACCTTCAGGGTGAAACTGCTCAAAGCAGTTCAGCTTTGGCACAATGCTTTCCCTGCCCCGCTTCAGGTCACAACCTTTGGAAACTTGTTTCTATTTGCTTATTTTACACCAAAATTAAAATAATATCTGTTACAGTTCAGTACTTCATTTCCAGGGACAAAACTGCTAAGCAGTTTTCTAATCCAGCAAAGAGAGAGAGAGAGGTTAGAGGAAGCTCTGACTGAAAATGTGGTAGCAAATACTTCAGAGTTCGGATGCAAGTTTGTAATGGTCAATGTGGAAAATCCTCTGGAGAAAAGACCCAAGCAGCCTGGACTGAAGCTGGCTGAAACTTGCAATTTCTGTTTTGTGGAAAATTCCAACATTAAAAAACAATGTGAAACACACCAGTTTGTGCCAAACAAGGCAAGCTGCCCGTACTTCTGAGAAATCCTGCAGCATCAGGAAAAGCTAGGAGGTTTCCTGTCAAAACACGGAGAAGCCCTAGAGGCCCCCTGCCCAGGGAAGCCTTGGGAGCACAGGATGGGGGGGCCCTGGAGCAGGAGGACACTCCTGGGGTGCCAGGAGCCTGCTGCGAAGCCAGGCAGACTTCAGCCAACAATCAGCCCGGTGAAGACTTGTCCCTTAGGTCCTGCCTGGCTTTCAGAGAAAGTCGGTCAGTCAAAATAAAAATGTTTCCAAGAAACTTTCTGTCTATGTTCAGCTGGCACTTTACAAAGAAACTGCTATCGGTATGAACATCTGTGGTTATGGGCGGTCTCTCCTGGCCTTAAAATTCTACGAATTGGTGAAAATCATATGATAATGACTGTCGCTGTTAAGAGTGACTTCAGTTTGTGTTCAGAATAGTTCAAGTTCAGTCTGGCCTTTCCTGAAAATACAAAGTTTCATACAATCAAAATAGGTTTCAAACACATAATCCGCTTTGACTGCATTTCTTCACTAACTCTCCAGACACTGTGATCAAGATTTTGCAGATGCAGTGATGCTGGACCCTCTTGAGGCAACCTCTGAGGGTTAATCTTAATTTCCAGAAATTGTTGCAGACCTATCCTTTCGAAATTAGTCTGCTTTATAACATGCCACATTGCCCACTCAAGATCAGAAGCAGTTAAAAATCACACATTTGAAAGCTTATACTCACCTATAGTACCCTAGAAGGAGAAAGTTCATATGAAATACACACATGCTGTGTTTTCAGGTTTTCATGAACCAGTAAGTATCAAGGCCAGAGACCTTCTGAAACAATGCCCTCTCCCTGACCCTTTAGGCATTCTTGCTAAGACCAGGCACTTCAGATTCTCCCTATCTGCTTTTGACATCCTTGAAGTGCTTGACACAGGGCAGGAGGAATATTTGGAGCTAAGGCTTAGTGAGTCACATCATTCACATGAAATGAACCAAATTATGTTGAAATACACATTTAAATCCCTTCACAATCAACATTTATTGGACACAAGTAAAAAGAGAAGAAACAGATGAAAAGGCAATTAGCACTAGCTGGAACTAAACGCATTTTGATTACTTCCTCCTGCAAGTCATTCATGGGATAATGTAATACACAGGCCACAGTGATTTTTGGAAAGGATGTTGCTAGCAACCTTCACACTCAGGCATCAGTTAGATGTGAAGAATTAACACATGCAAGTGGTCCACAGAGCTCAGTCTTAAATAGCAACAGCTTTAGCAGGGACTAGCATTACAGAATTGGAGCACATCAAGAGATTTGCCGGGTAAAAGAAGGAATCCATTCTCTAAACCCTGTACCTCACTGCAATGTGCAGCACCATCAAGCACATAATGATGTTACCCTGCCTGGGATGTGTCCTGGTGACATAAGAAAGTGCTCCAAAACATTTTTAATCCTTCCACAAGTGCTAGCACAGGATTGCCAAAAATCTTTGATGACCAGGTTGTGCAGTCCTCTTACCGTCTCTTTTTACCAAACTGATGCAATCAAACTGATTTTATGTAAGCAACAAGCTGACAAAAAATGTGGCATGAAAACGGTGGAGTAGCTTGGTTCAGCTTTTTGCTCAGAGAAGTCTGTGCAGCTGCAGCACACTCTCTGTGTGTATTTCCCTGCTGAAATCAACTCTTCCACTGCTCGGGACGAGAGAGCAGCTGAGCCCTTCTCCATGCCTCCCACAGGCTGGCACTGCCAGACCCCCAGCGGTTACACTGTCATGAGGCAGACAGGACACCACTGGGTGCACCTGGAGAGATCACTGTGCAAGCTTCCACCACTCAACTTCACCATATGCCCCTCACTGTGCTCAGTGCTGAATGTAGCTGCAGTATAAACAGATCTCAGGCTGAGCAGCCAAGGAACACAAAAAGTAGGAGAAAGAACAGATAATTCTCCCTGCTTTTGCAGGCAGAAAAATTCTGTGATTTGCCTTTATGGCCACACAGAGCTGGAACATCAGGCCTTCAGGCCTGAGCTGGAACAAGACCATTCCAGCTCCTACTGCAGAGACGCTGCTCTCTGTGTCCGTTCCACTGGAGCACGTCAGGCTGACAACCTCCAGCGCTATGCTGCAGGGACGCGAGGCTATGTGTCCGTTCAGTCATGGCCAGACTGCTTGTCCTGGAGACAAAATCCCTTTCTGGGAGAGGGGCAGTCTGGAGGGGAATGAGGCCAATTCCTTACATGGGCTGGCCAGGCTGCATCCCGACAGGACTAAACATCCTCCTTGCGGGAGGAAGGGAGAGGGCAAGGTGAGAAGGCAGTGTCATCCTTTCAGCTGAGACTCTGCCAGGGATGCTGCTAATTAGCAGAGAGAGGGTATGTTGTGGCTGGTGGGAGACAGACACATTCCATGTTGCGAGACAGAGCCTTCAACAGCTGTATCTGCAAGACACACATGCCATGAGCTCCCTGGTCGTGTTTTACATTGCAGAAGCCACCCCAGCAACACCAGCCAAGTCCTTGATGCCCACTGTGCAGCACTCAGTCTTGTGCGAAACCCGTGATGGGATTTTGGATGGACCAAAAGTTTTGAGTCATGAATCCTATTTTCACTGTTCTAATACAATCAAACCTATTTTGTACAGACATACAGAGTGGCTGTGGCTTCCAGGCTGTGCAAAAGACTGGTACTGGAGCAGCAATTGCATTTCCTAAGCGTGCTTGCATATCTTAGAGACAGGAGAGTGTCGTACCTGTAGCTAACAGAGGTGAGGAAGTATTTTCAGTCTCTACCCGAAGAGAGACAGCAGTCCGGAACCGTACATGTGTGTGCATTTATCACTTTAACGGGCTGCAGTGTGGAAATGTTTGCAGCAGAGACTACTAAATTTGTTCAGTTGGTGTCTGGTCTAATTTATACTGAGCTGAATCTGCAAGAGCCCAGCTTAAGTTTGTGACATTGTGTGTGGTTGTGCTTGAGATCAGCACCTGCTCCAGCACCCCAGTATCCACGGACAGCTGAAACGCACACCCATTAGCTGCGAAGAGCCAACAAAGCAAGCACCAGGCCCTGTGGCTTTCTTCCATAGATTTTATCGAGATTCCCTGACAACATAAAAGGAATGATTCATAATTTTGTGTGTCTCTGTACTTTCCATTTAGGCTAAGATGCCCTGGATTTCTCCTCAATACTTACGCACATCCCTATGAGGTGAAACCTGCCTTACGGATCTTTTAACTTGGCATATTCCTGAGACACAGATAACTCTGCTAGGCATACAAGCTCCTGACTCAACCTAGTATGAGCAGTTCAGGAGACGAGCTGAGGCTGATGACAGCAACAAGGTGATCTCTACAGAAGTAGAGATTAAACATATTCAGCTGCACAGTAATGCAGTTACCCAAGACAAGCCCAAGCTGTGCTGGGCCAAAATGTGCTTTTAAAAAATTTTGTGCGCACCAGTGAAGGCCTTGGCATGACTGAGAGCTGGCACAGAAATGAGGGGAAAGGGGTGGATGCAGGTGCTGTTTGCACTGTGCAGACTTCTGTGGAGAAGGGAGGGCAAGGTTTGGTCTTCAGCCTGGGCAGATTCCTCACCGCTGTTAAGCTGACAGAGTTGCTGTCAGGCCTTTCCCTGAGCAGACTGTAGAAGCCTGTACAGATGATCATTTTACGAGCAAAGAGGAAAACAACGGAAGAGGAACAGGCCATGGACAAACACAGCCCAGGCGCAAGGTGTGTCGTGCCAGGCTGCAACAAGGGACACGGCTGCTTTAAAGGTGCTTGACATGGGTACAGTGCTGATCCCAAAACCATACCCTGTGCCCTGCTCTGGCTGCAAAGCACCCTCTGTAACTGGCTATGAGCTTTAGAGAATGAAACCCAATTTACTTGCTACAAAGAAGAGCTGGATGGGGCCTCCCCGGAGTGTGGTGGGTGAGGGAGGGCTGCCAATTCCCATCCCCGGGCTGATCCCCTCCCGGATGGATCCCGAGGGAAGGGGGAAGGGGCAGCGGTGGCAGCAAGCGCAGGAACAATTCACTGGAGAGCCACGGCACTCTTTGCAGTTTGCCCACTAATTACTGTTAAGCCCTGGTTCTTTTTTGTGTTCCAAGGGGCGTCTTCAATGTGGCACTGCTTCTTGGGCCTTTCATGCGGCTGGGCCAACCCCTGAATAGGCGGCCGCAGCGCCATTGTGTGCCCTTACAATGCACTAATTGGCGGTGACAATCGTGGGGCTGGGGAGGAAGAGGGGGCCGGGGGGGCCGGGGGAAACGGGTCTGTTCCCGTGAGGCGGGTCAATAAAGAGAAGAGAAGGAGTGTGAGGAGCGAGAGACATGCTCTGCCCCGCGTCTCTGCGTCCCTCCCGCATGCACGTCCCTGCGAGTCCCACACAGTTTGCGCCAAGGTCCCCCCCACGTTCCCACAGAGAAGGGTAAAGCGAGTAATTTTAACGGGTGACTATGCAGAACAAGAGATGTGCAAACTAAAAGGGTATCCCAGTCTCCCAGGCTGTCTCCTCATCCCAGAGGCCGAAGAGCTCATGTGATGAGGACACCACCCAGATATCAACGGGAAAAGATCATGCACAAAGCCAAGGGGATGCTGGTGATGCAGCACTCTGGGTACACGTGTGAGAGAGCATGCTCACCTCTGAAGGAACTGAGCTTAAAAATCCCCTTTTTTGCACAAGGACAGTGGGATGCAAGGACAGGTCATCCGGCAGTGCTCTGCTAGGGCAGGCGGCGGTCCTGTGGAGTAGCCCATGGGGCTGTTGGGAGCAGAGTAACGATCTCAGGCCACATCTTCAGCACCAGCTGAGAACCAGAGGAACGAAAGGGCTGAGGCTGTTTATTGCCACTGTGACACCTCCTAGGACTCGGAGCAAGGGACCAACCCAGTCTCACACTGAGATTTGGCTGGAGTGAGCCCATGGACTCCAAGGGCTGCCACAGTGTGAAGTCAGTCCTGGAACTTGGAGGTTGATGTATCTGATGAGTGAGGGACAGATTTCAGCTCTACTCACTAGCTTTTAAGACAAAAGCCAGGACAGGAAATGGCATGGGCAATGCTTCTGAGCAAAAAGTATGGAAGGCTCAAAATTAATTCAGACAGTTGAGAGACATGGGGTCAGATGCTGAAGTACTCAACACCTACCTCCCTGTTTTCCAAACAGCCCATATCAGCTCCCTCAGTACAGTGAAGACCAGCAGGTGTGGGGCACTCTGGTTCCTGACAGGGAAAGCAAGACAAGCCAGGCTGGCAGCAACACTCAGGTTTACAAAGGGCTCTGAATTGTCGCTTCTTGACAAAGATACTTCTCTTTTTTGAAGCTGTCTGATTTTTGAGGAGCATTGTGCAGAGCAGGGTCAGGAACGAGGTAACTCTCCCAGCACTTGCAGGACAGCTGTGGGACTGCTATGGTGAGGAACACTTCTGCTAAATGCTTTGATGGAAAAGAACTACCTCCTGCATCTGGAAAATAGCAGGGAAACACCATCCCAGGCAGTGGCATCTAACCAGGGAACAACTACATAGGAACCACCTCTAGTGGAAGAACAATACTTTTCTGCAGCAAGACTAACAGGTCTCATGTATCAGCATGGCTTGGAGAAGAAATCTTGCCATAACCCCATGAAGAGCAGAGATAATGAGCAGGGAGGACAAACTGCAATCATGGACCCACAGACAGGCAGGCACTGTGCCTGAATCTAAAATTCCTGGTGCTCTGACTGATTAGGACTGGCATTTCAGTTTGGTCCACTACATATAAACACCGAGTTCAGCTGCAAAGTCTGGTTCTGCGGCCAAAATGTTGAGGGGAAGCCTACTGTGAGCCCAGTGTGACAAGTGGAGCTGCAACAGCCTAGAGCTGAAAGTGTGCCGAGTCCAGGGTATGCTGTTTAGAAACCCTGGGATACTGGACTCTTGCCCTTTTCACCTCATGGCCACCCTGAGCACCATATTTTTCTTAATGTCATCTCTCAGCTTTTGTGGGTCCTTGTCAGCATCTCTATGAAACACTAGAGGACAATTCAGTTTAGATACATCCATGTTCCCAGGAGGAACCCTCATCTCTCTCCGCTGACTGCAAGGTGGACTTGTCAGCTGTGTTAGGCTTCTAAAATTTGGTGGTGGCAATATTCTCCCTGAGACAAAATCCCTAGTTATCTGCTTTAAACCCAGTAAATGTGCCGCTTCTGCTTGCCATCCCCTAGCAGGCCTCCACACAGCTCCTACTGACAGCTATGGAAACATTCCCATGGATTACCATGAGTGCCGGAGGAGGGCCTTATATAGTGAGACTTCTCTGCCTCCCCTTTGCCCTAAGCCCTTCACAGAAGTACTTTATTGTTTTATGACAGCGCAGTAACACTTGACGTAAATCTCTAAGCACAGCTAACACTGTCAATACTGTGTAAATACCTACAGTAAAGACCCATATTTTATTATACTTTCACCTGCTATCACCGAGGGTTAACTCTGTGCTAGAGGCACAGGCATTTTACAAGGAATCCGCCAATTTTATACACTGCTACAGCTCATGTCTCTGAACACCAAGAGCCCAGCTCTGGTTCTTTCACAAACTGCAGTTTGCATTGGAGTCAGCAGAGCTTGTTTCTGCTTAAAGAGTTGATCACGCTGTCTGTTAAATCAGAGACAAGTGCTCTCCAGAAGTGCAGAGTCCAAGTCAGAACAGGACATTTTGCAATATGTACACAACAAACAACATCCACCAGTGTCGCAAGCAATTGCGTGCCAATGTCTGATGACAGAATGGTGCGTGCTGGGGTCTCAGTTCTTCCACCCCAACCAAGCTCCCGCAAGAGTCTGTACCCTCCGCTCTCACAGATCAGTGGGATTACTTGCAGGGCAAGGCACAATTCAGTGGGGAGACACTCATCAGGTTTTATGACTCAGTTGCTGTCCTGTAGGTACTTGTCTGCAGTGTCAGTCACAAATGAGATTAACTCACCTTTAGAGCTATGAAAGCACTTTGGACTGAAGTGCTCCATGCACGTCGATTACATCTATTACTTTCTCACACAGATTCAGTAACTTGCACTCTCTTATTTTTAAACTGTACTTAACCACTAACAATTTCTTCTTATTCACCTGTAAATACACCATATTGTACCTACATGATAAACACCTGGGAACTTTCAAGTCAATGAAAGTTCAGCCCTTAACATAAGCTCTTATCTGACTTTTGCTTTCCAGATGAGCCTCACAACTTCATTTTTAATATCTGAGGCTAATGCCTCGAACTCAATTACAGAAAATCAAAACTCACTTACTTTAAACAGTGGACTGACTTTTTAGCATGCTTACAGACTCAATGCCAAGTTTTATATTTGTCTACGCTGAAAACGGTTGGAATTTACTCCTGCTTGCCTTGGAGACTTTGTCTGGTTTTACTTGCGACACCTGATTATCTGAGACGCTTTTCACCACCTTCGCATAGTGGTAATACTCAGGCTTCTAGATGGGACCACTATTTTGGAGAGTATTTGTTAAACAAGAACGATTTTAAAAAGACAGTCCAGAGCTCTGTACACACACTCCGAGAATATTTTCATTTGCCCTCAGTGTGCCTTTCACTGAAAAGGTATGGGAAGCTTCAGACATGGAAGGTCCCTCTCCATCCCTAAGGAAAGAAGGAGGAAGCTCGCTCCATTTCGGTTAATCTATTACTGTACTGTAATCAGGATTGCATCATACATGGTATAGAAAAGCTGAAAGAAAAAAAAGTTTCCTTGAGCCTGGAACACAATCCTGGACAAGCAGCTTGTACCATTTGCTTTATTTAAGACAGTGTCCTCAGGACTTCATAAACTTGTGGACGCTGTCACTTCTTCCCAGAAGTAGGGCTGCATTTCAATTCTGCCACCTTTTAGAAAACCAGTCAACTTCCTGTATTAAACCAAATACTGTTAATTTTGGTCTAAGAGCTGGAAGGGTAACTTTTTAAAAATTAACTGTCCTGACCTTTGAGAGCAGAGCTGGAGCTTGGCTTGTCATGCTTAGGTGATATGAACCATAACACCACTCATGGGACTTGGCACTGGGAGATGATCAACTCTCCTGTCTCAGCCTATTGTAAAGTGTTTAATATGCAATGAGAACTTGAAAGAACCAGACCCAAAAGACTGGCTGTTGGACCTAAGGGGTTGTAAGATTGGCTGATGATCCAATATTCCCAAACACATCAGTGTATATGGTTATAAAACATTGACTTGTCCCATCAGCATGAGGAGTATAAACCATGAAAATCAAAAGGTGGGTGGATATTCTGTGGGTGCCAGTCTGTCCTCCCTGCTCAGCACCAGAAACAAATACTAGGACACACTGCAATTCACAGTCAGACTAGTATTTTCTGTGGCCTGCTGCGTTAAAGGCTAGCTGATAAATTACTACAAATAGTTAACAGAACAACCCAAAAAGCATGGCTTTTTGGGGTGTGTGTGCAGGAGTTAAGAACAGGGTTGCCAGTATTAAGGTTTTATTGGCAGAGCTATACTTCACTGGCGGGCACAGCTTTCAGTTAATGACAATGTACAACAGGGAGAAAACATCCACCACTTTAGCTCCTGACTGAAACCAAAAGAAATGTTGCTCCAGCCCCAGCAGATCATTTCAGTGACAGCTCATTCACTGTAACAGCGCACAACAGAGAGGCTGGGAAGGGGCAGGGAGGAGAGAAGCTGCGTAAACACAGACACAGGAGGACAGAAAAAACCCCCAACCAAAGTGCTCCTCCCAGGGCTCCCTAGACCCCATGGTCTCTGCTCTGTGCTGATGCTTTTTCCCACTATCTCGCACAGGCTGAAGTGTGGAGGGGAGGTGGCAGTGAAAGAGGAGATGACGTCATAATGGAATTTGCTCACCTTGTAAAGCAAATGAGGAGGAAGAGAAGGTCTTGCACATGGTTTTCTCGTGCAGCTTGTGTGGTCCCGGTCAAACATTAACTCCTTGCTTGTAGCGCATTTCATCACAGGGATGAAGTCCAAAAGTTCCTGCAGGAGAGAGGAGGATTTTATCCTCCTCTTTGAAGGCCACGAGAGCATGGGGCTAAGGTGTGGATTTCTCTAGGCACCCTCAGGCATGGCATTTAGGCCCATAAGCTCCACCACAGCTCAGCGCTGCAATCCTTACAGTCACCAAATCCACAGCTCCAGGGAGCTGCAGAAGCT